CCGCTCCCCCGTCCCCGGTTGCAGCGGCCCCTGGTTCCGCGCGTGCTCATCCACGGCTTGGGGCCTGGGGGACAGCCTGCCCTCAATCCCTTGTCCAACCCCATCCCAGGCACCCCGCACCCCCGGTGAAGAACGAGCAAGGCATTGTACTTCCTCCCCTGTCCCCTGCCCTGACCTGGACAGCTGCCCCTCGGCTCCCGCACCAGGCCACCAGGCCTCCCTTACAACCGGCCAACCCTGGGAGGCAGAAGAGTAAGAGATGAAGACGCTCATCAGTGGGTGGGGGCCCCAAAGAGGAGCCAACCCTCTGCTTTCCACCTCCCCACCCCCAGAGACAGGGCTGGAAAGCTCCCCTACAACAGTGTGACTGGCGGAAAACGCTGACCCCACACAAAGTGCGACCAGTAAGTGGAAACATCAACAAAAACAAAACCTCAAGTTCTTTTTAAAAATGACTCTAGGGACAAGCAGAAGGGAGGGAGGGGGGAGGGCTAAGGAGGGAAATAAAAAAAAGAAGGGCAGAGAGCATTGTGGATGGACAGACAGCCTCTAGGTCGAGGCGCCAAGGCAGAGGGCGTTGCTGTGGACATTCCGTCTGCCCCCGAGAAAAGAGGAGGGTAACTGAGAACTTTGCACTGATTTCTCATGACCTTTTTTCTTTTGGAAAAGTGGCATGCTCCATAATATGAAAAAAAAGTGTACATTTGAAAGACTGAGTGATAAGTGATATATCATATTTATTATATGTTGTCCAAAAAAGAGTCACTTATATACGTTAGTAAAAACATGATTTTTCTTTTCATGTCTTTTTGATTCAGTAAAATAAATGATTAGACAAAAATATAGATTTTTTGTGATTGAAAATTACAAAAATAAAGTTTATCTTTTTTTACCAAGCGATGAAATCCAAGGGGGCTGATTTTACTACAGTGGAATGAATTATGATGAAAAATGTGTGACTTGGTTTAGGGGGAAAAAAAGACCCCTTCTGGAAATATTTGGTGTTTGCTAGATCAGTAAGGACATTGGGTTGGCTTATTTAAAAACAGCTTCATTTTTTATGAAGGCCCCTTCGGAGCCCTTATTTGAGATGTGTGAGTTCCTTTCTTTTTGAAGTGGATGGTTTCCGAGCGACTGGTGAGGCCAGGAGAAGGTCTGTGTTGGTGGCTGTGGGTGCTGGCCAAGGGGATGCCAGCTTCTCCTGCTATCCCAGCCTTCCTGGAGGCCCCAGCTTGACCAGCATGAGGATCCCACTGTTTGCTCCTCCCCATTCACCTAGGGTTCTTCCTTGGGGGTGAGGGTCTTGAGCTCTGGGCTGCTACTCGGGTAGGGCCTGGGCGGCAGGCAGACGCTCTGAGCCTGAAGCCTCGCAGCTGTTCTGCAGCCCGCGGCTGGGAGGCCACGCTGCCGGACAGCCTGCAAGCGGGAGGCTGAGGGGCTAGCAATTAGGCCGCCCCGGGGGACACGGAGAGGCCCTGCTAACAAACCCTTGTCCTGGCTTTGATCCTTGCCTTCTCAGTCCCGGGTGGCGGGCGTCCAACCCCCCAGCCCCACACTGAGCCGCTCATCCTAGTGAGTTCGCAGTGCTGTGATGCTGGGAGCGGGAATGCTATGGCGACCTCAGGCAGAGACAGGCGTTACCACGCCTTTTATCTGCGCCCCTGGGAAGGCTGGATCCGCACTCTGGAAGACCTTGCCCAGAGTATGGAGAAGGCTCATTGCCTGCTTTGGGAGTGATGTGTGTGTTTAGATGCTCCTAGCATCCTGGTCAGGGCTGGACTTGTGCGGCAGGTGCCTGGGGCCAGGCTGGCCCCCTCCCAAGCTCAACACTCTGAACTGTAAGAGGCAACAGCTACGTGGAGGGTACTGATCCCACTTCTCCAGCCCTAAGGTCACTTCCTGAGTAGCCTGAGAATCTGGACCCTACCTGGGTATCTTCACGTTTCCATCCACACTCCTGCCCTGATAGTGACAAGCAACTAAAAGATACCCAGACCTGACTTCCAACTTTCGCAGGTGCTTGTACCTTAATAGAGTTTAAAAACGTTTTAAGACATGAATTGTGGTGTGGAAGTGTATGTCAAGGAGTGCTGGGAAGGAAGAGAAAAAAAGAGGTGAAATCCAGGAGGAAACTGCCTCAGGCGCCTTGATGAGACCTAGGCTAATTAGGGAATGGTTTGCAGATTTCTCCTCAGCTCATCAATTCGCTTTCAAAATGGTCTTGGCCTTATTTGATTCTAACAAAAGGGTCTGGACTGGCCCTTCTCATTTTCTGCCTGCTGAGCTGGGACACGCAGAGACAGCTGGGCTTGGCTGGAAACTGGGCGCTGCTATCTCTAGTGGGGATGCCCAATGCCTGGCCACTCAGCACGCTCTTGTTCCATAGTAGCTGTGGCTGAGTTTTTCAGTCAAGTTTAAATAGTTCAAAAATGGTCCATCTGGGTGTAAAAGGGCACAAGCCAAGACTTGAGGATGATAGGCCTTCCGCTTTGGACCTGGGACTGGTCACCTTGGGCAACAAGGGGGACCTGGGAGGTCCAGAGTTCACACATACAAAGAATCCATATAAAGACTGACCTCATGTCCAAGTGGGGAAAAGATACAAACTAACCTGGCAATCCAAATAAGGTCGCAGCACCCATTGGCTGCCAGCAGCCGGCCAGCAGCCCATCAGCCACCCCGCTGGGGAGTCTGCCCGATGGTGCTTCACTTGCTACGCTGAACTTGGACTCCTTAGATGGATCACGCAGGGGGAAGCATTATGCCGACAGAGGAAGGTTTTGTAATGAACCTCGTATTTCACCACTGCAAGCAATATTCTGGATCCACTTGAATCCCTCAAGTTCACTTTTCTTCAAAGTCATGTTTGCTTTCACTCCCTAAATGGTGCAGCTGAAAGTGTCAATCCCTTTTCCATGTTTGATTTGGTTACTTGCCGTTACATTCAGGTTGGCGAATTGGACGTTGGTGGGAGGGTCGTCTCAGGAATTTGGGTCCTGGGTTCCTTCTATTCACTCATTCGTTCTTCTTTCTGTTGCAGCAGTACTGCACAGGGCACATGCCAAGGTATTCAAGTATTCAGGTCTCCACACTGCTGTTTCAGAGTCAAAGATAAACCCAGTCCTTTCCCTTACAAGGAGTCCCTCTGTCCATCTGTGCCCACCAAGCTAAGTTGAAGGGTTAGCAAAGAGGTGAGAGCAACCCCAGGTTTTCTGAGAAGCAAGGGACAAGTTAACAGGCCAAAGCTGTTTCTCATTGGCGATCTGGAGTTAGTTACAGAGGCCCAGAGAGTGGTTATTCCTGAAAG